CTTTCAGAGCTATGAGAATGCTAGGAATGCTAGAAATCACCGGTCTAAGTAATCTTCCCTCCACATTCCAGTGCATCCATGATTTTGTCAAGGTTGAGATTACTCCCAAGATGTAGACTGTGTCTTTACTCACTCATCCTGAGCAATTGTTGTTTACTACATCATAAATCTTCCATAGAAAATCCACCCAATGATCTTTGAGGCTTTCTGATCAGAGATTCTTAACCTAGGGTACATAGACCCCATGAATAGATTTCAGGGATTTGTAAACTTGAAAAGGAAAAAAAATACATCTTTATTTTCGCTAATCTTAAATGGAAATGTAGCATTTCCTTGAAATACGAATATAGGCAATGAACCATAGTAGCATTACATTTCACCAGATTGCCAAAAGGATGAGGGGTTGATGACACAAAAAAGGTAAAGAGCTTCTATTCTAGAACTTTTGGCATTATTTGAATGGCTGTGGAGTACATGTCCATTTGGTCATCACTTTCTCTTACAATATGACTAACTCACCTTCTTTTCCACTCAAGTATTTCCCTGATGACATTCTTTATTTCATTTCTTCTATGTCTTCATTTGTAATGTGTGGCATCCTTCAAATGCCAACTGTGTTGTACCTTGACTGCCCTTTGACCCTCAACTTGAATTCTTCAGGGATTGTGGTATTCTAGGACCTGTCATAGTACAGCACCATCCTGAGACTCTTATGTTTAAAAATAGGGACCATTGTTTAAGGGAGAGTGGAGTCATTCAATTTTCCAAAGGCATTCCAGCCTTTCCATTACCTAAATAATAAGTAATAATGATGATAATAAGTCCCTTTGGGGGGAGGGGAGAGAAAAGTTTTTTCAATTCCTTACAGTAGGTTTATTTAGCAATGAACCAATCATTGCTGGATTTAAAAAAAAAAACCATGTTTAATTTTTACTACTTGTACCCATGTCCTCCTCCTCACTCCATTTTTTTTTTGCCATAAAATAAATGGCTAATGTGACTTGATTTATATGAATGGAATTACTACCGTGTTAGTTATTTATCTAAATACCTAATTACATTTTATCAAATTTAATGTTGACATTTTTAAAAGATGAAACAAAGACACACACAAGTTATGGAAGATAGTTTAAGGGCTAAATACTTAGTGCAGCTTGGCCATTTCTGCACAAAGAACTGAGATTTATTGGCTTGAGGTGCTTATGCATTAGGTCAGCAGCCATCATCATCCTCCGCCTCTAGTTGCAGAGCCCTCGGAGTGTTCATAGACTTCATCAGGTAGAATGCTCCCGAGGTCTCAGCCACAGTGCATTCATTTTTCTCACTTTATTACCATCACATCTGATTCCAATTTGCTACCAAATTGAGTTTCCATTCCCGAGCTTGACATTCAAACCCGTCAGGTGGATTAGCGCTGTCAGCTTTGTTAGTGTAGCTTCAGGTCAGCTAGCACCGGCCTATTAAATGTCCTCTGCTCCCCATCTCAGCATTTCTGCTACTTGTGTGGCTATCCGTTTGAGCAGCAGGGCTGGGTTACCCCATGTAACCTTTTAGCAACAGCAAAGGGTTGCCCATCATAACCTTTATCCTTGTTGAAAAATAGTAATTCTAGACCCACTGAATAGCTTTTCTGATTAAGAGAGAGAGTGGGTTTTTAGTCCTTATTTTCTTGCTGTTTCAGCAGCTTTTCATCAGACCAGAAAGTCTAGTGTTCTGTGATTGGGTCATTAGGGGGAATTTGATTGATTAGACCATTGTGCAGAGGGCCCTTCTTTGATTCATTTGTGTGGGCCTTTCTCTCTTGCTTTCTGTACTCACTATTTCTGCATATGGAGCTTAAACATAATTTTGTGAAGTTTTACTTCTAAAGTGGAAGGGAAATTGGCAGCTTTACCTCCTTTCACTTTTTCTTTTTTTCCTTTTCCTTTCTTTTCTTTCCCTTTCTTTTTTTCTGCTGACAAAATTTGAACACCCCAGTTGAACATAAGCACCTGATGGGGTGATTCCTTTTGGTTTATTTGCTTTGTTCTAGGCTTTGGGTTGGGAGGGAAAGATGTTGTTTTGGGAATTTTACAATGAAATTCTTGGGGCCCCTATTGAAAGCAGTTGTAATCAGTTTAGCTACTGTTCTCCAAAAGGGAAGCAGGTTGTTATGTTGGTTTTTCCTCAAGGTGATTATTACTTTGTGTTTCTCAGCTCAAGATCAGTCATCAGCAAATCATATTAAGTAGGAACACAACAAATCCAATATTTGGATTTCTCTTTACACGCCTATTTCTAAGGCAGGTGATTATGAATGTTCTTGACTATGTTACCAAGACTATCAGTAAATGAAAATATCTTTGCATTTCATGTTTCATAATCTATATCAGCAAATACTCATCCACTGAAGGCTAATCAAGGGAGTGGGAGGCTTTAACTTCATTCCACTTCTCTTTTCCACCTTCCCTAGCCCCTCTCTCCACACTGTCCTTTAGCTCTGAGAACAGGAATGTAAACAACTCATTGAATGCATCTGCTAATTGTTCTTCCTTAAGGTTACTTGATATATGTCACAAATAACAGTAAGAATGTATATCTGTCAATTGATAAGAAAAGCAGTCAATTTAAAGGACTGTTCTAACTCTCTTGCTGTCAAATTTCTTTCTTCTGAAGTGTATCAGGAGAAATTATGCTTTCTGGAAGTAGTGTATTCTCAATATATCTAAAAGATAAGATATTACTCTTAAAAAAAAAAAAGGATCGTTGTACTGCCTAGAAGCAGTATCTGAGGCTGCCTTACAAGCTAAGCATTCAGAGATCTACTATAAACAGTGAATGGAAAAGATAAGAGTGGTAGAACTGAGGGGAAACATGTTTCAAAAGACAGTGCTTGAGCTCCTAAAAGGCAGAATAAAATAATGGGAATGAATAACCTAATATTATCTCATCTTTGAGAATTTGTTGTGCACACATTTTGAGATTGAAATAGGTCATATGACTAAGTCCTTTCTATTCTTTAATCACAAATAATATTGAGCACCTGGGTTACTGAGGAATTTATTATGGCAAGTCTGGGTCTCTTTAGCATCTTCTTTTGGTGGTGGTTTGACTTTCTTGCTGCCTGTTTCTATAGAATGTAGATGATTGATTGACCCTTTAACTGTTATGCCTAACATAGTCCACTTCCTGATATCATTAGGATAATTCATCATTGTGAACATTTTTGGGTCTGTAACAGTCAGCTTTTAAGTCCTGACATTTTCCATATTTCTTGGAGGATTAAACCAAAATCTAGTTTGTATCATTTATTCTTTGTTTTTGCTACTTTGATATACAAAATGATGTGCAACAGTGTGTTTATCCCAGTCTCTAATCCATAGATAGTTACTTTTTACTTTTTCTGGTCAGTTGACCCATATTGGGAAGCTCCATGGTACAGCAGAGCAAGCATTTACTCTGAAGTCAGAGGATCTGAGTTCAAATACTACATCTGACATTTACTACCTTCAACATTTCACTTTTCCTGGGTCTATCTTTTCTTATCTATAAAATGACAGGTCCCTGATCTTGTCTAGGTAAATTTTTATGCTTTCTTACCATAGGTAAGACTGTTGGGCAATTGCAGGGAAAACTGTGACATACCACTTTCTCCCCAGTGTCTTTTACTAGAACTTTGCTTATTAAAAATTAAAATAATAATAATAATAATATTTATTCCCCCCAATTAAATATAAAGACAATTTTTAGCATTCGTTTTTTATAATATTTTGAATTTCAAATTTTTCTCCTTCCTTTCCTCCTCTCTCCTCTTCCTAAAGAGTAAGCAATTTGATGTAAGTTATATGTGTTCAATCATGTAAAACATATTTCCATATTAGTCACAGTTGTGAAAGAAGAAACAGATGAAAAGGGGAAAAAACATGAAAAAATAAAGTAAGTGAAAATAGTATGCTTTGATCTGCAATTAGAGTCCATCAGTTCTTTCTCTGGATGTGGATAACATTTTCCATCATGAGTCCTTTGTAATTGTCTTGAATCATTGAATTATTGAGAAGAGCTAAGCCATTCATAGTGATTCATCACACAATGTTGCTGTTGAACTTTGCTTTTTTTTTTTAATTAAATTTTATATTTAATCAATAAAAATCTGCCTTCAGACCCCACCTCAACTCCCATTGAAAAAGAAAAACAAATCCCCTATAATAAACATGTATGTATAGTTAAGCAAAACAAATTCCTTCATTGTCCGTGTCCTAAAAAAAAATTGGGGGAGAAAAGGCTTCATTTTTGAGTTTATTGTCTCTTTGTCAGGATGTGGGTAGCATGTTTCATCGTGAGTCCTGTGGAATTGTTACATTGATCAGATTTTCTAAGTTCTTCAGTGATGTTTATAATATTGTTTTTATTGTGTAAATTATTATCCTGATTCTGTTCACTTCACTTTGTATCAGTTCATGCATATCTTAAACCAAGTTTCTTTGCTCATTGTTTCTTACAGTATAGTAGTATTACATCACATTCATATACTATAACTTGTTCAGCCATCTTTAGTTGATGGACAACCCCTTAGTTTCCAATTATTTGATATCTCAAAAAGAACTGATACACACATATTTGTAGATATGGTTTCTTTTCCTTTTTATTTAATCTTTTTGGGGGCATAGACCTAGGTCAAAGGGTTTGTTTTTTTAGATTAGCCTGTTCTTGTTTTTAAAATTACATGCGGCATCACACAAATCACAATGTTGATTTGCAGTATTTGACTGTGATTGTTTTAAGAGGATGTTTTCCCACCTTTTTTACCTCTGAAAAATTAGACACAGGTATTCACAATGTAAATAAATTTTGTCAAGGAAACCATGCAGGAATGGGACTGGGATTGTAATGATGTCATTGAAATCTCTCCAGTATGTAAAATAGCCACACAAAAGTGTGAGGAAGGATTGATTTTTTAAAAGCGTAAAAAAAAAATCTCGTATGTCAATCTAATGTCATGTTTATTTCTTCCCTTTTTTCAGAAGGAGCTGAGTCTCCCTAGAAGAGGAAGTTTGTAAGTAACAAAAGATTCTTCCATTATAATCTTTTATGTGATTGTGATGTAATCATTCATTGAAGTATTTATTAGGTTTGTCAGTGGCAAATTGAAGGTTAAATGTGACGACTAACTGGCCTTAGCATAGCAACAAAGAAAACAGAATTTATATGCATGAGCATCAATATTCCATGATTTGAATATAATTGAATGTCCTTTGTAGTGGCTTCTAAATTATAATTACAGTGCAAGATTTCCAAGGTTTCTAATGGGTGATGTGAACTAAGAATGCATTTTTATTCTAGTGTGACCCTTAATTTAAGGGAAAAAAAATTCTGCCAATTTAATGAGCTCAGTCCTTTGGATGAAAATATTCGGCATGCAGATAAGTGTAAACGGCTGTGATAAGAATGATTGCTGTGCTCTAACTTTTAGAAATTCAAGCTGTCTTTTTCACAGCCATTGCTGAGCAGAGAAGACTATATTGTTTCACATCTGAATTGTTGAAGATGAGCAATGGAAATGTAGTTTATACTATATCTCATTCAGCTTTTAATGGCCTGACTCATGTGATGCTACTTTATGATTAAAATTGCAGATTTATGTACCTTGACTTGATTTCCCCATAGTATATTTCAACCTATTGTTTTTTTTTAGGATTAATAGTATGTTATTTGCCTCAGATAGATTTTTCTCCTGGAACTTACTGTTTGAAATTAGCTACTCTTACATTCAATTAAAGTAGGAACAGGTTTATGATCAATTGCTGGTGTAACTGCTGACTTAGAAACATTTAGGGTTTAAAATCTGAGGAGCTTATGGAAATGTGTGTGTGTGTGTGTGTGTGTGTGTGTGTGTGTGTGTGTGTGTGTGTAGTGGAGAAAGTTGCCTTTTATGTTTCTGGGGGCTACATTTAAGATTAGTACTTCACAAGTTCTCATTAGGAGGGGGGAGGATGTGGATAGAGGGAGATGTTGAAAGGCAAAGTGAATCTTAAGAGCTAAATACAGCCTTGTACCAATTTATCAAGTCATCGTTTAACAAGCAGGTATTAAATGCCTTTATGTGCTAATCTCATGATGCTAAACACTGGGGATACAAAGAAAGGTACAAACAAACAAACAAAAAAAACCCAACCAACCAACCCACCAGTCCCAAATCTCTAGTTCAAAGTCTAGTATTCAGATTCTGAAAGCCTTCAGAGTGTTCTCCATTTTGCTTATTATGGAGCCTGTGCTGTCCTGATGACAGAGGAAATTGATGTTTTTTGGAATGCCTTTAGATAACTTGCTACTGGCTCCAAGTTTGTATTTCTTGGCCTTAGATAAATGGCTCACTGTTTGCCATTGGAGAGCCCTAAGCCCCTGGTGCTTGTAAAGTAGAGGTTAACATAGCTATTTTCTCCCTCCTTGAGCACATTTCTCTTGGCTGGATTTGATGAGTCCAGCCTCACATTCACTCTCCTAGAAAGAAAATGTGAAACAACAAATAGCTCAAACCTGCCCCTATCATCATGACTTGAGGAAATTTGATGAGGGAAAATGGTCATCTTTTTATTTTCCTTTTCTCTTCTTGGAAAGTAAAAATACTTTAGTTTTAGTTTTGTTTTGTGTACAATATGAAGAGATTTGCCACTCTGGGTGATCTTCCATGGGTCTTCCACAAAGAGCATGCACTAAGCCATACTTACTTGTCCTCTTTGTTTCTAATTGGTTGTTACATCAATTGATTATCTAGTGAATGACTATTAAGATGATGGTGAAATCAGGCTTATGTATATTTTAGATCGTATTTCCTTTTGAAGCATCTGAATGATTCCCATTTGTGATTTTGTTAATGGTCATGCGCTGATAGGGCAACTTGAGAGAAAGGAGAAAATGAAAATTTTTATCCCTTAAAACTTGTTTTATGTGTAAGTAGGCTTCTAAGTGAAGATGAAGAACCTACTTTTTTTGGTGGGGGGAGTGGTGAGTGGTGTGTTAAAGCATGGCCATATGTTTGCAATAGGAATATGAGAAGAATTATACCTCTGCTATTTAAAATATATGTATAGCCCTCATGACAACTTCCACTAGAGTTAAAGCATAGTGTATGCATTATCAACACAAATATCTTTCTTTTATTTCAGTGTTACATCAACTATGGGAGAGATATAAGCCATTGGAAAAGTGAACCAAAAATAAGAGAATACACGTAGGGATTTCATCATTGGCATAGGAAACCCAAGAGTGAGGAAGCTCTACCAATACAGGTTGGCACCTCTTTGCTTGGTCTTAGACAATTGCATAGAGCATTGAGGGATTAAGTAACTCACCAGCCTGTATATGTCAGAAGGGGGCAGGTCTTCCAGGGTACAAGACACAAAAACAAAAATAGCAAAACTATTATTTTATGTTTATTTGATTAAAAATACTTCCAGTGCTCTTGCCCTAGTACCCACACTTAAATTTGGTTAGCTATACCTATAGAGAACACCAGTAATTGCCTTCTATATATAATGCATTTTTATGGCACTGGGAAAAGGAATTTTTTTTATGCTAGAGTGATTTTAATATAAATCTAATGAAGAAAGACATAGCTTCATCTTTATTACCTATCTGTGCTAGCCAGCATAATGGAGCCTGGTTATTGAGACTTCTGCAATTTATTTACCAAATAAATATCACCTATGTTTTCTTAAATCTGTATTAGGCTTTCAACAGAATGATTAGGGATTCAGTTCTATATATGTAACAGCAATATTTCCATTTAAAAAGTAAGGCAATGAACTTATCTAAGTTTTTCTATCTAGATATTCTGCCTGGTACAAACATATACCTATGTCTTTGTTTTGCCTCTTGAACATATATATGTACACATGTACATATGTGCATATATTTAACATGTATATATATGTATATATTTAAAATAAAGTTTTATATGAAATACCAAATTATGTATCTTTGGAAATTAAGCATTGGTTTGTTTATTTTTTAGCTTAGAGGCAATCTTTGTCTATAATGATAAAATATAAAAAACTAAACCACTAAAACTTTCTGAAATGGAAGGCAACACCATGTGTGGTAGTCTTACAGCAGTCCTTATAACAACAAGTGATTGACCAGAATGGAGGACAAGTCAACTTTTGAGTTTTGGAGTTTTTTGGTTTGGTTTGGTTTTGCTTTTTTGGTATATCATTCATCTTTATCAATGCTTCCTTAATTTAGCAATTATAATGTTTCCAAAATAACTTGGACTGAAAATTATTTCTACTTCTTATGCCCTTTTTGAACAGGTTGGTTAGGTTAATAATATAAACAAGGTTATCAGCAAAATGAATGTGGTTATCACATAGTGGAAAGAGTATCAGACCTGCTTCCTTTCCTGAACTCCAGTCCCATATTACTAAATAGCCTTCTGGACTTTGAACTGGATCTCCCATAAGTACCTCTACCTTAACAAATCCAAAACAGAACTCATAATCTTTCATTCAACTCCCTTTCCCTTTCTAACTTCCTTATTTCTGTTGAGAGTACTACCATCCTTCCACTCACCCAGATTTTCATTCTGAGTTTCAACTCTTCCCTTTCCCTCACGCCACCTCTTATTGCTTCTACGTTCCTACCTTTTCTTTCATCTTTCCTTTCTCTTCCCCTATTTTAGGTCAAATCCTTTTCTTCTCTTTCCTGGGTGATTCTAATACCCTTCTAATTGGATTGCCTGCTTCAACTCTTCTTGCCAATCCATTCTTTACACAACTTCTGGGGTGATATTCTTAGAACAAAGATTTAATCATGTCAGCCCCCTGCTCAGAAAGCTTCAGAGTTATCTCTAGGAAATACCTATTTCTCTCTTTGGCATTTAAGGCCCTTTGTTATATATCTCTACCCTACTTTTTCAAGCTTATTAGCCATTACACCCTTTGACATACCCTGTGATTTGCCCAAAGCTAACCTACTTTCTCTTCTAGGTATATACAATTCTTATTCCTGTCACCATGCCTTCTCCCATACCTGGGATGCTTACTTTCCTCCTTTTATTTTTCCTTTGAATCCCTATGGTCCTTCAAAATTCGTCTCAACTGCTACCTTATACATCAGACTTTTTCTTATTTGTCTGGCTGCTAGAATCCTTCTTCTTCCCTCCCCCCATAAAATACTTTATTTTTATATTTTTTCACATACTAATATGTTTACATGTTGTTTCTCTTACTACAGGCTTCTTGAGGGCCAGGACCAGTACACTTTGTTTTTGTATGCACGATACCTGTTATGTAGGCATGCCAGCTGGCATTTAATAGAACTAGCTAGGTGTTTTAGTGGATAGAGGGCTGGGCCTGGAGTCAGGAAGACTTAAGTTCAAATTTAACCTCAAACGCTTAATAGCTATGTCACCCTGGGCAAGTCACTTAAACTTTGTCTGCTTCAGTTTCCTCAGCTATAAACTGGAGATAATAAATAGCACCTCTATCTCAGGTTTATTTTGAGGATTAAATTAAATAATACTGTAAAGCTATTAGGACAGTACCTAGCACATAGTAGGTACAATAGTACCTAACACATAGTAGGTACAATAGTACCTACTATGTGCTTGTGGATTGATGGATTGCCCATCTTAGTTTGAGGGATGGAATTTACTTGAAAAATTACACATCTTCATGACTTTCCTTAAGATTGATTTCCTCTTGGCACAAATTAGTGAGGTGTTATATATTTTATATTTTTTGTGATACTTGTCATTATCTACTCGTTAATAAAGACAAATCATTGTTTAGCCAAAATTTTGCACAGCTCAAACTTTTTGTGACTGGAGCTGAAATTATATGGATTATTTAAGATTTATTTTGATTTCTTAATTAGAACCATTCCAAACTGTATATAAGTACCAACTAGATTTGGGGCCTAATGTTTAAAAATTTGACCTCCAATAGTATACAGTTTCTCCTCATATGAATTTGTTTCCCTGATCAATAGCATAAACTGTACTCTAGAAATAATACTATGCAAAAGAAACTGTAATGGAATAGGGTTCCTTTGAAT